TCAGGAGACTGACGTGGAAGGTGGTTTGGTCTGGTTTGATTTGGTGAGCTGCCTCACGCCAGTGGGCATCAGGAAGATATCCCTTTCTCTCCGTGATGCAGCCCAAACGGGAACCACGATTCCTGGCTGTTCCATTACAGGAAAAAGACAGAAGACAGTCCTTCAAAATGAGCCTCTCTCTTGACTCTGATGAGCCCTTTAGTTTCCAAAGCTTATGACAAAATATGCACTCTTTGGAGTCGCATTGACCTGGCTTGGCGTTCTGGCTCCACCTTGCTCCATCCGCGTGATTTGGGGCAATTTCCATATGGCCTTGGTACCCTCCTCCGTAAAATAGGTGTATTGCTATCGGGGCTGAATATCAGGAGCATTTAGTGAAGTCATGAGTGTTAAGGACTCAGTAGCATGTGCGGCCCAGCCACCGAGCTAGTATCTGTGTGACAATCAGCTTTCCATAAATAAGAGGCTCCACTTTACTGTTTGACAATTTCCCTGGTGTAAATACTCTTACCACAACTGATATGAAGCGACCAACATGCTGTCACTGAATGCAGGCTTGAGAAGAGATGCAGGAAGCCTACCTTATCCAGTGTTCCCACTGTGCAGATACGACAGAGGGAAATAACCTCACGAGCAGGGATGACAGCCAAACATAGGAAGTGATGAGTAATTATGTATGACCTTTGTATTTTGAGCACTTATTAACGGTGTTTTTCATGTAATTTATTTAATTGTAAGCTCATATAATTAAAGTGTTCACGATGGCTGTGTTTAACCATGGGGTCCCAAAACTCTGAGGTATTGACCAGCCTGCCCCGGGGAGCCAGGATGAGCCAGCCCCAGCATGTGGGCCGGGCACACCCGTAGGTGGTCAGGGCATGGCCTCCCTCTGCAGTTCCCATCCTCAGCCCTGGGGAGGACTTCACGACGCTTTCCCAGCTGGGGAGACAAAGAGTCTGTGCCCCAGCAGGCTCCGTGCTTTACTCTGGACCTTGGATATCATCGTCATCCTCAGCCCGCGCTAAACCTCGGCTAAGGTCCCAGCCCTCCTCATGCTGCCTGACCGGCCCTTTCTACAGTGGAGGGGGCTGTGCCACCATGAACTCCAGACAGGACGCCCCTCTGCTAGGCTGAGGGGCCCACAAGAGAACAGTGAAGGGCTCGATGGCTGAGCTGGGGGCTGGCAGTTTATTTTAAGAGCCTTCTGTGAAGGAGATGGGGAAGCATGGACAGCAACTGTGTTTTGGCAAGTCAGGACCTATAATTAGCCTCTGCTTGAGGCTCAAATAAGCCCCTGATTGTCACTAAACAACAGCTAGAGCAGGAAGGCCTCCAGCTTCCCTGAGCCCAGTGCCACACGAGCTGCCTAGAACAGACATTTGGACGGAACTACCCCATCTGCTGTCCAGTTTACCCCAGGAAGCGCTCCTGTCCCTGTCAACCCCAACTGAGAAGGAGGGCCACTGAGCGGCCGACCCCTCACCTCGGCCCATCATGGAGCAGCTGGCATTTCCTACCAGACGCCTTCATGGCTGGCTCCCTGCCACCGCTGATGCACAAAGCGCTTGCTATCAACTAGTGGAGTGTTACAGACGCAAGCACCGGCTACTCTTGCAGCTGGGCAAAGCAAAGGCTGGAAGGAAATACAACATACACAGATGCCGGCGGTGCTTACCCTGAATGGCAGGACTTGGGTGATTGCATTTTCCACCATCTTTCTGTTTGTCCTGCATCATAGGACTCTAAATACGCATTTCCAACATAGGCTCCAGACTGTTGCTTGGTGTGTACTTTTTCTGCCAAACCCCAGGGCCCAAATTTAAAAAGCAGAAACAAACAGACAAAATTAAGCTGTACCAAAGTGAATAATTTTTTTAAAACTGAATTTAAAGAAAATTTTTTTTTAATATTTATTTATTCTTGAGAGAGAGAGAGACAGAGCACACACACGAGAGAGGGGCAGAGAGAGAGGGAGACACAGAATCTGAAGCAGGCTCCAGGCTATGAGCAGTCAACACAGAGCCCGACAAGGGGTTCGAACTCACATACCATGAGATCATGACCTGAGCTAAAGTCAGATGTTTAACCGACTGAGCCACCCAAGTGCCCCCCAAGGTGAAGAATTTTAAGAATTTAAGCTTCAGGGTCCCTCACTCACGCACAATCCTTTGTATTAGTTTTTATTTTTTTCTTTTCCTTTTTTTATAATAGTTTATTGTCAAGTTGGCTTCCATATAACACCCAGTGCTCATCCCCACAAGTGCCTTCCTCCATGCCCATCTCCCCTTTCCCCTCCCCCCACCCTATCTGCCCTCAGTTTGTTCTTGGCATTCAAAAGTCTCTCATGGTTTGCCTCCCTCCCTGTCCCCAACTATTTTTCCCCTTCTTCTCACCCATGGTTCTCCGTTAAGTTCCTCCTAATCCTTCTATATGTGCAAACATATGATATTTGTCCTTCTCTGCCTGACTTATTTTGCTCAGCATAACAGCCTCAAGGTGCATCCATGTTGCTACACATGGCCAGATTTCATTGTTTCTCACTGCCATGTAGTATTCCATGGTATAGATAAACCACATCTTCTTGATCCATTCGTCCGTTGATGGACACTTAGGCTCTTTCCATGTTTTGGCTACTGTGGAGAGTGCTGCTATGAACATTGGGGTACATGTGCTCCTATGCCTCAGCACTCCTGTATCCCTTGGGTAAATTCCTAGCAGTGCTATTCTTTTTCTTAAAGGCAATCTCCCAAATTTCATAAGGTCCAGGTCCCACATCTGCCTACAGCTGCCCCCGCATGGCTACCTTGTCTAAAGAGACCATAAAGCCGCCTTCTCTAACATCCATAGTTGTGGGGCCAGCAGTCTAGACCCCAGTTGTGATTTGATGTCCTGGCCTAGAGTGGGATGTGTGCTCAGCGTCATCTCGAGAAGTTCAGCAGCATGACTGCCTTTGGCTTCAAGTTTGACATCTGCAAAGTGTCATCCAAAGTCTGGAAAGGGGGCTCCTGAACGTGAGGGTCACAACTGTGTGCAGGAGCTTGAAGAGAGGGCTGAGCCAGACCAGCCAAAGCCAGTCCTCAGGGAGGCCTCACACAGCCATAGCCCTTTAGATGTATTATATTCAACAATATTAACTGTGTTTTCTTTTTCCCTGTATTCTTGGTGCTCTGGCATCTAGGGCCTCACTATTAGCCTCTCACAGAGCTAGCTAATCTTAGAGATAATAAGCCACTTGCAGAACATGCTTTTGATATGCAAACCAGCCAATCTGGGTCCATACCCAACCTGCCTTCTCTTTCCTGTGCTCACACTCCGGGAGGCAATATTCCTCTGTCCTAGTCATGCCAGGTGGCTGGGGACCATCCCAGGGGCCCAGAGATCGCTGAAATGATTCAAACTACCCAATTCTAAACCTGCTCAGCTACTTACCTTGCCTCACCCATTCCTTCCCATGAAAACCATAATAAACGCTTTGCCTGCACTTTCCCTTCATCCTTTTGCGACCAAACCTTCTACTTCTTCATATGGCCCTGCCTGGTGTGGCTGCCTCTCCCCTTGGGAACTGTGAGTAACATCTTTTCAAGGTCATCTTTTCAAGGTCTCCTGATCTGTTGGCCCCACCATACCTAACTAAAAACAAAATCCCTGGGGGCTTCTGAGGAATAGGAATGACCTCCAGATCTGGGGACAGGGGAAGGAGGGGAGCGGCTCACCTCTGGTCGCACCATTCATTCATGCATGCATTCATTCAGCAGGTATTGATGAAATGTCTACCATGAGCCAGGCTTTGGGGACCTAGCAGTTAACAAGGAGGTGACCCTGGGGAGGGGCCAAGTCAACACAGTGGGCTAGGACGGAGAGAGGACAGGGGTGGGCCAAGGCCCAGCCACAGTGAGAGTAGTGATTTGTGTCCTGCCTTGCTCCTGTGGGGATGTGCTATCTTGTTTCATTGAATTTCCCTCCAGCAAATCTGATCTTCTCTTGGCTCCAGCCCGGCCCTGGGGGACCCTGGGGAACAGGCAAATGAGGGTCTCTCCCCTCCCACTTCTTTCTCAGTTCATGCCATCTCTGCCCTCTGGTGCTGGAAGACCCCCAGCTCAATGAAGAGCTTATAACTCATTCACATCCAAGTACAAAAGGACTGAAAACAGCTTAAAACAGTGACTTGCATCCTTCTAAAGTAACTGTCCTCTTACCCCCCAAACTGAAGATTATAGAGAAGCCACATATATAATATATATGTTTCTCAGGTTAAGGAGAGAATTACCCCCCGCCCCCAACCCCCACCTATGAGGGACTCTATAGGGTTTGGGGAGCCAGTTTTGAAAAACCTCTCTTCATGGCTCCAGGAAACCCCAAACTGTATGCACAGTGTATCTGTGTTCATATGTATGTTTTGAGGGTGAATGAAATTCTAGACCCACGTTGCCCAATACAGTGGCCATTGGTCACAAGTGGCTATTTAAGGTTAAATGAAATTTAAATGAAATGAAATTTTCAGTTCCTCAGTCATCCTTGCCACATCTTGGGTGTTCAGTAGCCTCATGTGGCCACCGTGACGGTGCATATATCACCATCACCACAGAACGTGGTGGACAGCACTGACCTAAAGATTTCATCAGCCTTTCAAAGGCACCCATGACCAGAAAATGTTATGAGACACTAAGTCACACCAGTGAAACTTCATTTAAGGAGCCAGAAGCTTCCCTGGTAGAGTTGAAAGCTCAGCATTATGACGAGGCTGTGAACAAGTCTGCCTTTGAGTAATATTATAGCTCCAAAAATCCAACTCTAAAGGCTCTTAAAAGACATCCAAATTTTATGCTTTGTGGTTTATCTCCTCCCCACTTCTTTGGAGAGAAACAGTTGAACTCTAAAAATATTTACTGTAAGAAAAATGCTCTATTCCCAGAACCTCTGTGCCCAGTGCGAATCATGGTGAGAAGTGAGGGAAGGTGGTCCAGCGACCTTGTCTCCTCTGATGTGTGCAATCTTTCTAGGTGGGCGAGGCGGTCTTGGAAAATGCCCGGCTCATGCTTCAGACAGAGAATATCCAGGCGGGTGCCGATGACTTTAAAGAGAGGTAACTTCTTTTTTTTTTTTTTTTTTTAAGTTTATTTATTTTGAGAGCGCATGCACAGGGGAGGGGGGGAAGAGCAGAGAGAGAGAGAGAGAGAGAGACGGAGCATCCCAGACCTGACACAGGGCTCGATCCCACAAACTGTGAGATCATGACCTGAGCCAAAATCAAGAGTCAAACACTTAACTGTTGGAGCCACCCAGGCACCCTGAGAGGTAACTTCTGCAGCAAGGGGGAGAGTCCCTCCGCACCTTCAGACCACTAGGCAACTTGGGGACTGCTACTCTGGGGCCTGTAGCATGCACTTCCAGTGGCGCAGAAAGCTGGAGTGGGATAGTAGAAGCCCCGGGAGAATCCAGAGGAAAGATCGTGCAGCTCAAACCCTCCTTATAGACACAAACTAGGTCCCAGGGCTGAGACTTTGCCCAGTGTCACCTGGTTCAGGGTAGCGATTCTGACGGTAGTATGTTGCAGAACCACCAGGAGGTCTTCTAGAAAACAGGTTGCTGTGCCCCACCCGCTGAGTTTCTGACCAGTCATCTCGAGTGGGGCCCCAAATTTACATTCCTCGTGAGTTCCCCAAGAAGCTGATCCCGCTGGTCCTGGGGCCCCATGTGCAGAGGTGCTGGTTTTGAGCAGTTTCTCAATTGCGGCCGCATGTCGGAATGACCTGGGCACTTAAAGCTGCCAACATGCAAGCTGCACAGACACATTAAACCACCGCCCCCGGGGGTGGGGCCCAGGCCTCAGTAGTTTTAACTCACCAGCCTTGAAAAACATCTCTTGGAAGTCTAATACATAGTCTAATACAGTGTTTCCTAAAATATGGTGTGTATACCACTGATGAAAGATAAACATTTTGTTGTTAATAGTTATGTATTTTTATAGTTAACCTTCTATTTATGACTCATGAAACTTTTTTCCCACTATAGTAGTATAATTTATAGTAGCAATTTAAAATTTATTTAATACAAAGAGCTTTTAAAGTTTGCTGACTTAACATTTAATTTTTAAATAGATAAATTTAAGGAAATATATAAAGTAATAATGATAGGAGAGAGACACATTTAGGGCAAAATCACAACGGTGAGTGAGGTTTGGGAAACACTGGTCTAATGGAGAAGTGAAATGAATAAGACCTTTCATTGATGAACATGGCGGTTTTGAGAATATTCTGTGGAGAAGGTGCTCTGGATGTTGGGTGATTAGATGGGTGATGGGATAGTTATTCAAGGAACATTTCCTTAAATCGATAAAGACAAAGAGGAAAGGCATATAGTTGGGAGTCTTTGGGGAAGACAGTGGATAGGATAGGGAAGGATGTATCATCATGATGAAAAGGAAAATCTCTACCATGTCCTCAGACCCAGAGTCGTTTCCTTTCTCTAAGGCCAAGCTTCGCCATCTGATACAAGGATCTCCAGTAGTGGCTACTCTCGAGTCAAGGAAACTCTCAATCATCTGGGTTGCTGTCTTGGACAACACAATGCTAGCCAAGGTCGCAGGAGCACAAAAAAGTGAAGCCATCATCTAGCCACTGACAGCTGACTGCACAGTTAAAGATAGATGCCAAGAGACATGAAACCATTTGTGCTAAATTTAAGATAGAACTTAATTTTTTTTTAAATGTTTTTATTTCTGAGACAGCGTGAGCAGGGAAGGTCAGCGAGAGAGGGAGATACAGAATCTGAAACAGGCTCCATGCTCTGAGCTGTCAGTCAGCACAAAGCCCTACATGGGGCTCGAACCCACGAACTATGAGATCATGACCTGAGCCGAAGTCGGACGCTCAACCGACTGAGCCACCCAGGTGCCCCAAGATAGAACTTAATTAAGGGTGAAGTTAAGGTAGGATCTAAGCAACATTTCTTTCATTCATTCATTTATTCATTCATTCATTCTGCATTCATACATGCCTTCATTCAGCCATTCACCAGAGTAGCAGGGGCTTGGTCTCTTTTGTTCCCAGTGTGTTACCAACACCTGTAACATTGCCAGGCACAAGATAGACGCCCAACACATAGTTGTGGAATTAGTGAATGAATGAATGAATTCAACAAGGGTTTGAATGTCTGCCAGGCCCCTTGCCATTACTGGGGATGAAGTGAATGGAACCTCAAGGAGTTCATAGTTCAGTGTCAAAGACAGAGGAGCGAACAGACAGTAGCATCACCGGGTGGTTGTGCCATCACTGAGAAAAGCACAGGTGGGGTGGGGACATTTAGTCTGGCCAGGGAGGGTTGACCAAAGAGGTGATGCCTGGTTTGGGTCCCAAGCTCGTGCAGGAGTTGAGCAGGCCAATACAGGAGGCACGAATTTCCAGGCAGAGAGGGCAGTATGTGCTAAGGCAGGAAGACATGAGAAAGCATGGTACATTCGTGGCCACCAAGTAGCTCATTATAACTGGAGCACGTGCAGCAAAGAAAGAGGGACAACCAATGGGACTTGAAAAACAGGGAGACACCAAATCCCGGAGGACCATGTCAGCCATACCAAAGAGCTCAGAGATGACCTGAGAGAAGAAGAGACCCATAGAAGGGATCTGAGCAGTGGCTCATCATGACCAGACTTCAGCTTTAAAATTTCAGCTTTGTACTGGTGGAGAGGAGAAGCGGGGCAAACCAGCAAGAAGCCATGGGAGCAAAGGGGCTGGACCGATGGAAGGGCAGGGTCTTTATTGGGAGCCATGGTTGGAAAGTAAGGTGAGATCAGATTTTTAGGGGCCAGAGGATAACACTTAAGGCTCTGAGCAGATGGTGACTGGATGTGGTTAAGGATGGTTCCTCTGGGAGCACTACTGTGGATCAGTGGTGGGAAGATGACCAGAGGCTGTTACAGCTCAGGTTCTGCCTGGGACAGTGGCCACGAGCAGACTTGAGGGATGAGTCAAAGAAATCATTGGCAGGGGTTGACGATTATCTACATTTACAGTCTGGAAATAGAAGGCAAAGGTAAGTTTTAGGTGTTGCACTTGGGTAATTGAGAAGATTTGCATTCTCTCAACAAAATAGAAAATTATGGAAGAAACACTGGTCTAAATTCAGGGGTAGTAATGATCTTGGCTTTGAGCAAGCTGAGCTGAGCTGATGGAGCAGTTGGGGTGGGCCACTGAAGATGATGTGCCAGAGTGGCCTACAGGTCAAGACAGGAGTTTCAGGCATCACGAGCACAGAGATTCCATTTGAAGACTTCAAAATGGAGGGGGAAAGGAATAAAGGATAGGGAGAGAAAGCTGAAAGCTTAGCAGCAGCCTTGGAGATATCACAGAGATGTGTCAAATGGTAAAGGACTTCCAAACAACGATCTGCAGAGCCCCTAAGACTTCCCATCATGCTGAGTGGTGCATATCATGGGAGGGACCAGGATCCCTGGAGAGATAAGCAAAACAGGACTTCAGAGGCACGCGGGAACTCTTCCAGCTTGGGTCAAAAGGGACCAATCCCAGTGCTATGGGTGAGTTTTTCATTCCAGCTAGAAGGGCAAGACTTGTTTCTAAACGATTAAATGTTAGTAAAAATACAGTCCTTCATGAAGAATACATTTGAGTAGAAAATCTAATCCTACACAGAGAGTACATAAAATTCTTCAGAAACCAGCTCCTCAGGGGGTGATTCAAAGGTGCGGGTCCCACTCCAAGGAAAGTCTCTAGCAGTATGCCACAGGGCTGTGTCCTCGGTTCCTCCATTTACTATTTTTAACTGTAGGTACGTGATAGCAGGTAGGGCAAAATGACAGAAGATACAAAGCCGGGAGGGGGTGGGCGGTGAAGAGAAAGATGACAGACAGAACTAGGAATCAAAATTACCCCAACACACTGGAACACTGTGCCAATGAAACTGAGAGAGGATATATATGGACTCCGACTTTGGGGTCTAAACACCAGGTGTACCCAGAAAGGACAGGTAATTGGGCTTGTAAAAAATGCTCACAGTGTCTAGTTGACAGGACATCCAATATTAGTCAACAGCAAATACAGCTGGTCAAAACCAAATGAACAAACAACCCCCCTCCAAGGAAATCTTGGGGCCCATGATGAATAGAATTGAAGGGTTTAAACAAAGGAGCAGACTACCACCCGCCCTGGGGCTCTGAACTGATCAGGCAACATCTGGAGTTTTACATCCCATTCTCTGTATCACATTTTGAGAAGGATATGGACCAATTAGAGCATTTCTAATCAGTCCACAAATCTATCTGAAGCCTGGAGGTGGGTGCTAAGAATACAAAGACAGAAAGGTCGTAGTCCCTGCCGTGGATGATGAAGGATATGGAAACCAATTTATATGAAGAATGGAGGCACATGGAATGTTTAGCCTGAGGAACAAAAGGCTTGGAGGGAGAGATGAGGGGGAAAGAAAGAGTCATATAAGAGACAGTCTAAATATTTGTAGGACTGCCAGAAAGGATTAGACTGACTTTGGGTACTCCAGAGAGTGGAACTCGGGCTCTTACAGGAATGAAGACTTAAGCTCTTGAAGGAAGAAATTTGTAATAATTAGAGATGTCCCAAAATGTAATGGTGGCCTCAATAGGTGATGAGTTCCCCATCACTGGAAATAGTCGAGCAGAGGCTACATGATCACCTATCAAGAATGCTATCAAGGCATTGTCACTGGGTAGGAATTTGAATAGTTAAACCCTAAATTCCCTTAAAACTCTAACACCCTAAAATGCTTCCTTCAATGAGAGATGTGAGCTTTCTCCATTTGATGGATGGATGAAGGTAAGGTGTGAAATTTGGCTGACAGGATACAGCTGCGTGGAAGGCTGGGGGTGGAAGGCTGTGGAAGGAAAGGAGTTAACACAGACAAAGATGTTGAGTGGTTTTTTTTGAAGGAAGGCTCTGCACAAACCAGAGGTGGAAAGAACTCAGGGAGAGGGACTTGGAAAAAAGAAAGAACTTGGGGGGAGGGTGCAGTTTCAGACTTGTGTCAATGTGTGTGTGTGTGCGTGTGTGTGTGTGTGTGTGTGTTATTGTATAAGCTGCAATTTTTATTTTTTTATTTTTTTTAAATGTTTTATTTATTTCTAGGAGAGAGAGAGACAGCGTGAGCAGGGGAGGGTCAGAGAGAGAGGGAGTCACAGACTGAAACAGGCTCCAGGCTCTGAGCTGGCAGTCAGCACAGAGCCTGACGCAGGGCCCGAACCCACGAACCGTGAGATCATGACCCAAGCGAAAGTCGGACGCTTAACCGACTAAGCCACCCAGGCGTCCCAGCTGCAAGTTTTTAAAAAGAGATATATTACATATAAATCCAGGTTTCTCCATTTCTCTTGAAAAGGACAGGCACACCCCTTTCCCCGCAGCAGCTCCCCCTACATGAAAGATGAACGGCCCTGTGTGCTTCTGTCCCCACCCCTCCCTGCTTCCCAGACCTGGCCCTCACCCCTCATCTATATTCCCCTCTTGGCCCCTGACAGCACTGGGGTTTGCAGTCACAGTTTTAAATTTCACATGGGTTCTTTGGAGACAGAAACCATGCTTTTCATTGTGGGATCACTAGTGCCTAGCCTGGTACTTAGCAGACTCTCAGTCATGTGTGTTAAAGGATCTGCAGGGGGAAAGGATGACAAATCAGAATCATGGTGACAAGGCCAGATCCCCTTACCAGGATCTCAACTCCTGGAGAAGCTTCCCCTAGAGTTCTGTGCTCCCAGAGCCCTGTGAGCCTCGCAGCCTGTGAAGCCGGGCCATCAGAAGTTGGCTGCAGTCATGTTCATGGTAATAAATCAACATGTAAAACTTGCATTAACAGTGCCCTCAAAGCTGTTAGAATGGTTTAGACAGTTAGAACGGTGTAGACACATCCATTTGTCTACCACATAATTGGCCTGTTGGTAACGTTTCTCATCTGATTATCTGCCCTTTGGGGTTGCCCACCTCTGCTGATTACGTTCCTTTATCTGCAGGTATGAAAACGAGCAGCCATTTCGAAAGGCAGCAGAAGAGGAAATTAACTCTCTGTATAAAGTCATTGATGAGGCTAATTTGACAAAAATGGATCTGGAGAGTCAGATAGAGAGCCTGAAAGAAGAACTTGGCTTTCTATCAAGGAGCTATGAAGAGGTAGGTGGGGTGGGGCCAATGCTGGTTGGCCACAGACCACAGGCACTCACCTGTCTAGCGGAGGCTCACATCAGTGATGGTGGCTCATCTTGGCCTCTCCCTGTCTCTTGCCCAGGGCCGCAGGGAAAATGCGGATAAAATACTTGCAAATCCTTGTCATGGGTAAGGTTACCCTGGGGGTCTCAGATTCAAGTGGCTTTGGGACCAGGGTGGTATATAAATGGAGGAGATCGCTGGTCCACATCGGCAAGAGTGATGGAGACTATGTTGAACTGGAGAGAGTATCCCCTAGCTCAGGGCACTATATTTCAGGTCTTTTTAAAAAAAATTTATTTTTTAGCACTGCATAGGACACACAAGATAACTCTGAAGGCAGATCCAAGCTGTGGCTTACACACACTCGTTAATGAAATTAGGTCAGATAGTTGAGTGACAGGACTCAATGGGAACTCCATCGGGGAAGCCCTCCGGTTCCCTGCGGAATGGCACTGACCCTAAACCACCTCACACAAGTCACTGATCGGACATCTGAAGTGCTTTCAGCTGAAAAAGTCAAAACCCACTTAACCATGCTTACACTGGGAAGTTCCTTCTTTTGTCCACCCCCAGGATGACCAGGAGCCCAAAGCCCACTTCCTATTCCCAGCCCAGTCGTTTGCTACCACTCTTCCCCCCAACCCTTTAGACTCCAGAGTTATCTTTAAACCTCGTCCAGCCTACACTGACTTTATGAAATTCATAAATTTCATCTTGCTCTTGTTGCTTACTCTGTGTGTGTTATTTGGTTATTTATTGATTTTGATGTTTGCTTTGAGTGGGCTGGGGCTTGTGAAGACCAGCCTAAGAAACGTGTCCTTGGGGAAGGGGACTCGAGTCCCCGTGCTGATGACAGGATCAGGGACTTTGCCAGTCTCTGTGAAGCCCCACGTTTGGCCGTAGCAGAACGGGAAGCACCAGGATTACCCACAGACCCAGGCTTGTGCTGCCTCAACTTCTGTGTCCTTTCCTTCTCCTCTGGAACTCACCTGAAGCATCTATCATCATTTGCAGGATGTGAAAGTGCTATACAAACAGCTGGCAGGGTCTGAGCTGGAACAAATGGGTGTTCCCATTGGCACGGGTCTGGATGACATCCTCGAGACCATCAGAATCCACTGGGAGAGAGACGTGGAAAAGAACCGGGCGGAGGCAGGAGCCTTGCTCCAAGCCAAGGTGAGCGTGCTCCCCTCTGCCCTGTGCAGAAGGAGGCCAAGCGAAGGTGAAAGGCAGTCAACATGGAAAAGAAGAAATGCCAGTTTCGATCTCATTAGACATAAAAGAAATTTGATTTAAAATAAGAGCGGTTTACCTGTCTAAATGCAGAACATGTTTAAGATGGTAATACTTGATGCCGACAAGTATGTGGAGAAGTATGTCTCCCCCTATATTACTGAGGGGTACAAACTCGTACGACATCTTTGAGTGAGGGGATTAATATGTATTAAAAGTCTTGAAATGCCCCTACCTACCAGTTGAGTGATCTGGACACTATCCTAAACAAACAGTTGAAAACACAGATAAAGTTTACATCCAAATACACTCACTGAAGCATTCATTTTGAGAATGAAAAAACTGGGGCGCCTGGGTGGCTCAGTTGGTTAAGCGTCAGCTCAGGTCATGATCTCACAGTTTGTGTTTGAGCCCCCTTATAGGGCTCTGTGCTGACAGCTTGGAGCCTGGAACCTGCTTCGAGTTCTGTGTCTCCCTCTCTCTCTCCCCCTTGCCTACTCACACTCTGTCTCTCTCAAAAATAAACAAACATTAAAAAAATGAAAAAACTGGGGGGTTGGGGGAAACACAGAAATGTTTAATAATAGGGGTAAGGCTAAGCTACAACCTAACCATGCGATAAAATTCCAGGTAGTTAGAAATATTTATGAAACATTTATAACAACATGGGAAATGCTCACATAATAAGGTAAAATGGGGGCAATAAGAAGTACAGAAGGGTATATCCCAGGAACCAATAAATTTTTTCTGGAAAGCACTAAATAATAAGTATTAGACTTCCTGGGTCTGACAACCTCTGTTGAAACTGCTCAATTCTGCCACAGTTCTGTGAAAGCAACAGTAGACAAAAGGTAACAAATGAGCGTGGCTGTATTCCAATAAAACTTTATTTACAGAAACGAGAGGTGGGCTGCATTTGCCTGTGGGCTTCAGTTTGCCAGCCCCTGGTATACACAGTAGGGTAAAGCATTCAAACAAAGAAATGAGGCGTCACAGAAAATGTGTTGGTGTTCGCAGTGGTTGTCTTTGAGGGGGGAACCTATTTGACATGTCAAGATGTTTTTTCTTGCTTGTTTTTGAGTATAGTGTTTTTCAAGTTTTTCTTAAATATTATGAGTTCTATTCATGGAGGAAAACATCTTTGATTAAACCTCATGAATAATAAAGGGATTAACGAGCAAATTGAATGCATAGGGTTTCTTCTTCCCTTCTCCATCTTCCAGCCATATATGACTTGGAGAATTTTGAGGCTGAGGATAAGAGGAGCAGAAGAGGAAGGAAGGTGTGGAAAAAGTATGAAAAATAAGGTAGCTTATCTTCTTGAGAGAAGGCAAGTGGGCTGCTTTTATGCTCTGAGTCACTGTTTGGTGGGTCTCAATTCCAGCTGCACAATAGGATTATTCCAGAGCATTTTCAAAAATGCTCATGCCCAGGCTCCATCCAAGACCAATTAAATCAGAAGAAGGAGAGGGACTTTGTGGTTTTCTAAGCTCTCTGGATGATTCTAATATCCAGGAAGGCTGGAGAGCCGTGAGAGTTTATAAAAGCTACTAAAAGAAAATGAGGAGGACCTTTTCAGTTCTTTCTTTCACCCATGGCCCCTTAATCCTCTGCCCCCCTAAGTATCAACAGAAACCTTCCCAACAGGGTCTTCACCCATTCTGGACCCTCTAATGTTCTCCAGACCCGAAAACATCTTCACTCCCCCATTTCTCTGCCCTCTATCTCCTACCAATGCCGCTTTTCTTTATAACCTTAATTCCTTAGGCCAGGTCACTGCAAACAGTTTTTATGGCAAATAGTGCCTCGGTACAGCACACAATGCAGTGCCTCACCCACCCAACCAGGCCAGAGGTACAACCACACAAAGGGAAAGTGAAACCAAACCATAGATTTGATTTTGGTCCATTGCTTCTTTTTTAGGAGACTCATGAGTATTTATAATCCAGGACCTTAGAGATCATCCCATTTCCTCATTTCAAAGGTGAGGAAGCAGATCCGAGAGGGCGGTGGACGTCCTGAGGCCACATAGCTGGCTGGCAACACCACTAGTCAGCTCTCCAGGCTCCCAGTCCAGGCACCTTTACTCCACATTGGGCTATCGTTCCTCCCTGGCTCTTTCCCAAAGCAAAATTTCTGCGGCCCAGCAGTTTGCCACCTTGCTTCTACCCCCAACCCTTCTGGGGTACACACCACACTGTAATGATGGTTTGTCTGTTTGTTTGTTTGTTTGTTTGTTTGTTTGTTGAGGAGGGGGGAGGAGCAGAGAGAGGGAAAGAGAGAGAGCATCCCAAGCAAGCTCCACGCTGTCAGTGCAGAGCCAGATGCAGGGCTGGATCTCACAAACCGTGAGATCATGACCTGAGCTGAAATCAAGAGCCAGACATTTACCTGACTGAGCCACCCAGGCACCTCTGTAGAGATTATTTCTTTGGGGAGCAAGGAAGGGGCATTGAATTAACAGAAATGAATCCTGCATTGTTTGAAAAGGAAAAAACTCCAAGCCATTATTATTCACCCTTCATACTCTTGAGGATCGTTACCAGCCCAACAGTAATTCAAGCATTAATTCTGGACAGATTCATTAGTGTTTTTTTAATAGAGTAATCTGAAAGCTGCATCTCAGAGAAAACAGGCAGCACTTGTTTTCATTTGGCTAGTGCTGCCTGGGCCTCTTGCAGAGAGGCGGAGCTCAGAAAATATTTGCAGAATGAGTGAATTCCTCTGATCATCAACAGAGATCAGAACTGACAGCCAGAAGTCCAATAAATAGTTTTGTCAGTTGCTGTCATGCCCTTGGGGACTGACATTTGCCCATACTGAGCACCTCCTGTCGGTTTCCCGGCAGCAAAGCATAAATGTGAAATGGCTTAGCGCACACTTCTTTCAAAACCTTTTGCAGAGCGCATACAAACATGTATTTAATTACCTTTCAGCCTGGGAAGCCTGAAAATTAATTGACATGATTAATTTATGTCTTTGTTTAGCTTTCCCCAGAAACTGACCCTGAGACAAATATTAAAGTGGAAATCGTTTATCTGGAACGTGGCCAGGGCGGGTGGAGGGTACAAAATACCAGTAGAGAAGATGCAGGAAAGGGAACCAAAAAAGAACTCATTCTCCAACCAGCACCCACTGAGGGACGCTGCACTCAGCACCCACAGCACTTCTGGGGAACAGTACAGAATACAAGAGAAGGGAAAGGTGAGGAAGCTGGGGTGGTAATACCGTCCCCATCAGACATCCGCCGTCTGCTAGCAGAGTGACCTTTCAAAGACTTCAGAGAGAGCTCTCCCAGGCAAAGAAGTTTGGAATTTGGCAGTGGAATGGAAGCCAGGGAGAACAAACATGTTTCGGCCTCAGGGATAAAGGTGGATGCCGTCAGCATCTGCTACCAGTTATCTGCTAACTCCTCTTAGTTTTAAATCATTAAAAGCTTATAAAGAGGTTCCAGCTCAGTTCTCTCCAGCCACGGTCATGGATGTCAGGAACTTTGGTGGTCCAGTTTTTGGAGCTTCTCAAGTTGTATAACTCTGTGTTTGGGGAGATCAGTTTGGTCCAGATAATTTCTGGAGGGCCTCGCAGCCTGGCCCTTCCTTTTCTGTTTGTTGTGGTTACCCACCTCGAGGTAGTTGAGGATGTCCGGGTAATCACAGGCAGCATGCCACACCATGCTCCAGGCATCCTGGCTAGCCGTGGAATACATTCCCCAGTCTGCAACCCACAGACCCTCACAAGGCCACCTGGGGAAAATGGGGGGGCCACTATCATGCACCTCTTTCCTAGTATTCCTAATCTGAGATTTTCCATTCTGTAGCAAGCAAGACAGGCTCTGTTTTGCCTTCTTAACCTCCCCCCTGGGGTCTCCACACCCTCACTCCTGGAAGTCACATCCCCACCCCTTGTTCACTGCAGTGGGAGGATGTGTGCAACAACCAAAGTCTTACTCAATTCCGGCACAAGCTGATGGGATGGAGTTGGGAGGAGGTGTCACTGAGAGAGAACTCAGCTTCCTATTAATAGCCCCTGGGGGCCAGGAACCCCACAGCAAATGCTCCCATGCTATCTATTCTGATAGTGGTCTGCACTCGCCTCAGATCAGCTCAAGGTATTTGTGGTCAGGAACTTCACTGTAGCTGTAGCCATCATGCCTCCCACAGTCAGGATGACAGATCGTGGAGATGGTAGAGAATGAAGAGAGGTGAACAGATTGAGATGAATCATGAGGTTTCTGGCTATTGATAGTCTTAGGGCTGGAAGACACATTAGCAACTGACTAGAGCAGTGCCCTCTAACAGAAATTTCTGCAAGGACGGAACTGTTGTATAACCTGTGCACCTTTCCAGTATGGTGGCCACAGCCCACGTGTGCTTACTGTGTGCTTGGAATGTGCCTCCTACAACTGAGAAGCTGAATTTTCCATTTTATTTAATTTTTGTTTAAATAGCTATGTGTGGCTAGAGGCTATCGTATTGGACAACATAGGTCTAGATCTACCCAAAGGAGACTAGAAACCTTGGATAACATGTCTCAGCATCATCCATATTCACAAACAAGAATTCACCCTGAAAGGGCTATAGGCTGCCATGTCAACACATTTTCTTTGCTTGCTTGTACAAAGAGTGAGTATTTTCTAGAATATATGAAATTGGATTGAAATGGGGTTCTGCTAGTCAACTGGGGTCACTGACTCTAGATGGTAAGATAGCCAACTGGGAGAGTTCCTTTCAAGGAGAACAGAAAGAGCAGAACCCCTAATAGCATCTGTAATCTAGGAGTCCCTGTGTGTTGATGAGTTGGCTATAGTGCCTGATGGCTCTTTGGTGAAATAAGCCATGTTTTATACTGATGCACTCGCTGCAAGCACTGAAGGGGAGTCATCTAGGCTTTCTACATCTCTTACTATGTCACAGGGGGAGCTTCGGGCCCAGCTTGTCTTTCTT